GCCTGGTCCACCCATGCGCCCTGGATGGTGGGAGGACCCTGTCGGTTCCGACCACCCTGGACGGTGGGGGGAACCTTTCCGCCCCTCTCACTCACGTGCCCTGGAAGGGGTGCGGGGGTGGGGTGCGGGAGGGAGGGGACTGTCGCCCCGCCCACCCGGAACGCTGAGATTGCATCCAGAGCTTCTAGGAATTGAGCGAGATGCTCCCGGCCCGCCCTCAGACTGGCCCCCCAGAGGCTGCACTTCGTAACAACAGTCCTCCCCAGTATCCTCTTCCTGGAGGCCAAAACCCCAGCAATGCAAGAGCACAGCTCCACACTCTGGGGGCTGGGGCTCCACGGAGGCCGGCCCGGGGGTGTGCCCTGGCCCCGGGGGAGGAGGCCCCTTCCCCACCCACAGTCAGCCTGAGGCGCGTAGGCAGGCAGGAAGTTGTCAATAGACAGTGAGAATCCTCACCCACACCAGAACCTGGCCCCTGGTAAACTGGGAAAAGCTGTGGGCTGGCAGACTGGGGAGACCCGAGTGGGGGAGGGCCAGCAAGCGCTCCCTTCATCCTTCCTCCCTCCCAGCCGAGGCGCCTCAGCACAGTCTGGGGGCTGGATTCAGAGATCCTAACCCTGAGAAAGGCCCCAGTCCTGATGGAAATGGGGTGTCCACCTGGGGTGAGGCTGGAGGGCCAGGGGGACCAAGAACAGCCCCTCCCCTGCCTTGCCTGGGCCAGGGTCAAGGCCCAGGGTCCCTGTCCACCCACACCCACCTGTGTCTAAGGGTCTCCTGGGGCCCGGGGTGCACTCACTGCCCAATGAGGAACTAGAAATTCTCCCCAAATGCCCCAGCGCCTGAACTCCATCCACCCCGCTTCGGGAAAGCCCCCCACCCACTCCTCTGATCAGCCCCCACGGAGGGAGGCCAAAGAGATCTGCTGGGTGGCCTCTTCAGGAGCGTGAGACATGCCCTTCCCCTCGGGCAGTACCCAGAGGGGTGTAGAGGCAGCCATAGTCAGCGGGGTGGCCAGACGAGGCCGAGATCTGCCTCGAGACAACTGCTCCAACAGCCCAGGCAGCGGGTGTGGTGGGGTGTCCCAAACAGCACGTCCTGAGCCAGCAGGGGGTGGACTGGCCTCTAGATGCCATCAAGCCACACACTGGATGCTGTCTGCCCCAGGGAGGGGCATGGGTGGCCCCACAGAGCTGTGTGTGCAGCCTTGGCCTCACCTGCAGACCACAAAGACCCGGGGAAGCCCTGCCTCAGGGCCCCCTGGCCCAAGCCCAGGCCAGGCTGCCAAGTCCTATAGAGACAGGCCTGGTTGCCATAGCAAAGCTACACACACTTCCCGTCACTGTTCCCCGCATCTTCTTAATACGCCTTTTCCATCCCAGACAGTCAGGCTGTGATTGTCAGGGGTCCCCTCGGACCCCAGCGCGCCCTGGTCTGGGGCCTGCCCGGCCACCTTCCCTCCCAGCGCTCAGCCCAGGCCTCTGCCCTCTCTTCTCCATCCTGCCCCTGGCACCCACAGCCCAGACTCCATGGAGGTTTCAGAGCTGCCCGAGACACGTGCTGCGGCCTGCCCTCCCCAGGGCTCTGCCCCCTTGCCCCCTCCATCCAGCCTCCTGGCCTTTCCTGTCCAGGGGCAGCCTCTCCAGCCTGCCCGACCCCTCCTGCACCACAGTCCAGCCTTAACCTCCACTTGGCAACGGAATGCCTTCCCCTCCCCACCCGCCCTGGGGGCCAGCCTCATCCCCCCCAATCCTTTCTTCCCCATATCTGAGGACATATCTGAGGTCAGGGACTGGCCCAGCCTGGGGGACATCCAGAGGGCTTCCTGGAGGAAGGGGCTGGCCAGATCCAACGCAGGGAGAGAATGTGCTGGAAAGAGGTGGCATTCATCCTCCTCTCTCAGTGTCCAGCTGCAGGGCCGCTTTTTCCTGCCCACACCCTCCCTCCACCTCAGGGCCCAGCCAAGCCCCAATGGCTGTCTTAAATCAGGGGGCCTAAACTCGTGGAGAGAGGCCCAGGGCCTCGACCTAAGAGCCAAGTGGCTGGCAGTCCCTGGGCCCCTGTGCACCTCCAGGCTCCCCTGGCCATTGTCTCATTGCTCCCTGTGTGGCTCCTGTCTCCTGGGTTTCCTCCTTCTTGCTTCCCAGTGGAAGTCGGGGAGGGCATGCAGAATCTGGGAAGATCTGGGTCTGGAGGTGAGCAGCCCACGCCCCTCAGCCCTCGGGCACACCCCTCCAGTCCTGGTTTCTGCTGGGCTGCTCCTCCCTGCTCCGGGGGTTCCTGGGAACGTTCATCTCCCAAAAGACTTCCAGACAGCCCACTTCCTTCCGCCCAGGCGGCTAAGGGTCAGGTGTGCACAGTGACATCAGCACCAGCCCCCACCTGACTCGACGCTGCTCTGGGGAGCAACCATCTCTTCTGACTCAGAGCGAGCACACGGGGACACTGAGGACATCAGCTGAGAGGGACTGGTGGGTCCGTCTTCATGGGTCCCCCGCGTGAGCCAGCCAGAGGCCTGAAATGCTGGGTGCCCACCCGCAAGTGCCAGGCTCCGAGAGACCTGAGTTCAAACCCCACCTCTGCCACTTGGCAATTGTGCAACTTCGGGCAAGTTGTGTGCCTGCCTGGTCCTCAGGTTTCTTCACCCATTAAATGGACTGGATGTACCCAAGTCTGGAAGGAACTATGAGAGATGCCATGTGAGTTAGCAATGAAGGCTCCACCAACATCAGCTCCTTCTTGAGAATTGACAATGGAAACTGCAAGGTCACCGCAGGCACAGACAGCCATCAAGAAGTCAGGGACGAGGCTGACCAAAGTCCGGTTCCTTCTGCTTCCTCTGTGGCGGCCAGAGAACCAAGGGGCCCCACCTTGCAGGTAAACCAGCCCCTCCCCGAGACAGCAAGAGGCTGGATCATCGCGTCTGGACAGCCAAAGCCTCCAAAGTGGCTCAGGCCCTTCAGCCAAATCCTCCTCCATTTCCCAAACTGCCCATTCCTTTGTCCAGCCAACTGGCCAAGGTTCACACCCGAGTCTGAAGAAACCAGGAGCCTGGAGAGGGGCTGGCGGAGAGGAAGCAGAGAGTTGGAAGTACCACTGAGCTGCTCAACCTGCCAAAGGCACTTTTCTGGGGGTTCCTGCCGCCCCCTTAGGCAATACTGAAGACCATAATCTTTTCCATTTGTTTCCAGAGAGATCATGAAACAGGATCATAGCGGAGTCACTCCACAGAGAACCTCAACTCGAGCCCCTCCATCCTGGCTGGGCTCTTATCAGCCAGGTAGCCCATGTCCCAGCTCTCCCTGCTCCGAGGGAGGAGGGTCTGGATGCAGGCACCTTGAGACACAGAGTTTCCAAGGAGAAGCTTGGATGCCCAGAGCAATGCAAGCGGGGATTTATGACAGAGAGGAGAAGAGGTGTGGGAAGGGAGAGACCCAAAGAAAAGAAATGTGGAAGAGAGATGCCACATGCTTGCCAAAGGCCAGGGGTGGGCAGCCCCAGGAGAGGGGGCCCATGTGTATATGAGGAGAGGTCTGAGGGATGGGAGGAGGGGAAACTGATGAGCAGCACAAAGCTCTAAGCAAGGACATAGCACAGCGGGGTGGAAACCCTCCCCGCTGCAAGAGCAGGGTACGATCCAGCAGGACCCCAGACTCAGCCCCAGCTGACCGTCCTGACCTGGCTCAAGACAACCTGGCCCAGGCAGCCAGACCCAAGTGAGGATTAGAAGAGGAACCCACCCCTGCCCCCCACACACAATCCAGCCTCCTCACGCTCTCCTTCCCCAGTGAAGCCAGCAGTCCATCCTCTGCACACAACCAGAGGCACTTGACTAGACAGACCTGACACAGGCTCTCCTGTGCTCACATTCCCCACAGCCTCCCTTGTGAGCACCACGCAGCCTCCATCCTGCACTCTGGCCTGGCCTTACCACTTCACCTCTCAGCCCATCGCCAGAACCCGCTGGCGTCCTCTGAGCTTTCTCATCCTGGGCCTTTGCAGTCCTTCTTCCTCTGCCCAATACGCTTTTCCAGCAACTTCCCAGGACAGGCTGCTTGCAGGAGGTGCCCTCCTCAAGCCCTTCAGGAGCCCCCAGTACTGTCTCTTTCTCAATGCCCTGCTTCTTTCTGTTTTTCATAGCACCTGTCACAGATCCTCATGACTGTGTCTGTGTATTGTGGGGGGATTTCCCCCCCTCATCACCGGTTCTGAAAAGGGAGACGCTTGGAAATGGCTGGAGACATTTTTGGTTGTCGCACCGGGGGCGAGGGAGGCTACTGGTATCTGGTGGGTGGAGCCCAGGGATAGTGATCAACACGCTACAAGGCACAGCGGGCAGTGACATGAAGTGCCAAGAGGGGCGAGGCTGAGAAACCCTCCTCGAGAAGAGCACAGGAGAACTGGGGTCTCGCTCTCCGCAGTCTCCCCGCGCCTGTGACAGTGCTGGGCACCCGGCGGCGAACCGTAAACGGAGGAAGAAAGAGCGAATAAAGAAGAGAACGGAGGAGAGGAGCGAGCGACGGCCCAGATGACAGACAAACGCACGGACGAGGGAAAAGCCGGCGCGCCTGAGCCCCGCCCCCCAGGCCCGAACCCTTCCCGGGGCCCCAAACACCGGGCCCCTTGCTCCACCGCGCGGACCGAAGGTGCGAGCCCCGGCCCCGGCACGCCGCGCGAACACTCACCCGCCCGTGGCCGCTCGAGAACGGGAGCGCCTCCCTCTCGCTTCATCGTGCCCCCTCGGCCGCGGGCCGGGGAAGGGACGGGCCGCTCGTGCCGGAAGCGCGCCGGCGCGGTGCCCGCCGGAAATTGTAGTTCCCCGGCTCTCGCGGCCCGAGGCGGCTGCCTTCCCCTCGGCTCTTCAGGAACTACGACTTCCGGTGGCTCCAGCGTCGCAGGGATGGATTGGTGGCTTCGGGATCACTCTATGTTGCAGTTCGGGTTCTGATTGGCTAGGTATTTCCGTCAGTCACAGCTAGGTTCAATGGCCTCTGCAAAAGGGTGGGGCTTAAGGGTGCTGGTCCGCTCCCGAAAGCGATGCCAGGGCTCTGTTGGTGAAGACAGAAGAGTAGAAAGAAGAACGTATCAGCATTGACGGGGGCGGATACTTCCTCCGGGATTGCCCAGTCGCAGAGCTGGAGCAGTTTCTATAAATGCTTGAGTCCCGCGGTCTTTCGGTCTTTCAGGATCTAGCAAGCGGTGGAAGGTGTCGGTCTATGTTCAAGTGATGCACGTTGGAGGCGGGACCCTGGCCCGGAGGGGCCCGGGAAGGTGGTCTAAATTCGGCCAACCTGGCCCCCGGGCTCCTCCCTCAGCCCGAGCTCCCACGTTGATCTTCAGCTCTGTACGCTCCTCTGCCTCCTGCTCGCCCCAGTTCCGTCGGAAGTCCAAATTGTTAATGCTTCCCAGAGGTAAGGCTGGGCTGGGGCCGGCTTCCCAAATTCAGTTCCGAGCCTGTGATGAATTGCCTTAATTTCTGACACCTCGTATGAAAACTGCACGTGCAGTCTGATTATATTGCAAGACTGAGGCTTTAAGGGGCCCCCACCGTGGAAGGGCCTGGGGGTGAAAACACGTCTTGCCAGAAATGGCAGGATAGAGCATCTGTCTACAGTTGGGCTCTTTCTGACTTTCAGGACTGTCGGTGACCTGGCTAGAGACCTTGAGGTCAGCGTCCCTCTAAGGGGCCTTGGTGCCCTGACGGGAATCCTTGGATTCCAGGTAAATCCAGGGCCTTTTCCAGCTGTGACTGGGGGATGTCTGGCTTCTCCCTCTCTTCCTGCTTTCTGCCTTGCTTTTTTTCTAAGTCTTCCCTCTTAGGAGGAAGGCTGGTGTTTCGTGCCTTTTGGGAAGATAATTTCTTGAACCTCACTCGCAAACTGCCTTGGTCAAACTCAATGCTATGTCGGTAGAATTTATACTTCCCTTTAGGCATTATCAGGAATGCAGGGTGAATGACTTGGGACCCTCCTGTCTCCCACCTCACCTTCTGCCTTCGTGCCACCTTCTGTTACTCCCAATTCCAGTTCCTCCAAGTTATTTTCATTCCTTCTGGGACCCCCTTCACTTCCAGCCTGTGCAGTATATTCCCACCTGCAAGCACCCTATTAACCTGGTCATTTCCATGCAGCCCAGTCCCCTGGGGACACACTCAAGTATAGGAAAATAAGAGAGACCTTAAGGTCAGCTCAGCTAACTGCTATGTATCAAGTTTGATACTCAAGATTTTCTAAAAACCCTTCAGAGGCTGTCCCTGAAAGAGAACAGGGTTTTTTTCCTCTTGGGTCACTTTCTTGATCTTTTTCAGTGTTAACTGGCTTTCAAATATACTTTCTAATTCCTTCTAACAGGCTGACCTCTCTGCTCCCTAGGGTCAGTCCCCCTGAAACTCTGCAAAAACTCAGTTACAATTAGACCCACAAACACAAATGCCATAGCTCCTAGAGGTGGCCTTTGAAGTATTTAGTGATGGAGGAGAAGGAAAGGACTCACTATAAAAAAGCCAGGCCAAGACTCAAACTAAATAGATGGCCTTTGCTCTCGGCAATGCTTCATAACCTCAGGGCGACCCAAAGTGGGCAGGAGAGGTCAACCATCAGTCTGGAGGTGAGACCAATAAGGGGGGTTTAGGTGTAAGCCAACTAACCATTGGCCAGTGAGTACCAGGAGGCCCCGGGCCATGCCCACTCTACACACAGGCCAGTCACTGGGGATGGGACTGCCGTTGGTTGCTAAGGAGGGGCCCCTTCTCCTGGGATGGCCATGCTGGAAGCCCAGGGATTCAGGTTGCTCCCCTGCCACAAGATGTCTGTATCCATCGAGGAGCCCCTGATGGCAGGTAAGAATATATATTTTTTAATACAGGAGCCACTTTGTCCAGATTTCTCATGCTGGGCCTCCTTCCTGGTGACTAGCTGATGGAAATCCTTGCCCCCTTTACTTCACTGAGCTCTCACATGCCTTTTGAGTTGAGTGTCCTACTCCACTATCAAGGAGAGACCTGGGCTCCCTCCCCACATGGCGGTTAGGAGGCCTTAAGCAGCCTCTAACCTTGACCCTGGCTAAGGCTGATCCACAGGAAGAGCGAGGGCCTGTTCCCAAGCAGAGTCTGCAAGCTGTGAACACTGCAGTTTGAAACAGGTCCCTGGAAGGCCATAAATGCCCAACCGGTGGAAACTCACCTTAAGCCAGAAGCTGCCATAAGATTAGATGGGAAAGGTTACAACCCTAAACAGATGCATTCTTAAAACATAGGCTCTTGGTGCTCTGTCTGAATCCAAGAGCCCCATTCTGTCAGTTAGCCAAATGAGGGATACAGGATGGTGTGAGACCTCAGCAGGAAGATGCAGTGGTCCCTGTACACCCCCTTGTGGCCAATCCTTATAAAACTCCCTGAAGATGCTATGTGATTCACTCTCTGACCTTAAATCCCAGTTGACCCCTCACAGTATCAGATTGCCTTTGAGCGGACTAACCCCACCCTGGACCAGATGCAACAGTGCACTTGGTGGACAGAAGTACCCACCACAGGGGTGTTGGGACATCAACACTTGTTTGCCCAAACCCTAAGAAAGGAATTAAAGAAGATATGCTAAAAGGGACTGTTCTACAGTCTGTCGATATATGTTGGTATGGAGGCTCAGGTGAGAATGACATTGAAGTTCTTAATTTCCTTCAAGCCTGGGGTTACCGGTTCTTCCAGAAAAAGGCACAGATTTCATAGCAACAAGTTCAATACATGGAATATATTAGAACTCCTGAAAATAGACAGCTGTTCTAAGAGAGAAGAGCTACATTAGGTTTGAGTGCCCCCAAAGATGTTTTTTTGTACTTACAAAATTAGCCCTCTGTAAAGCTCCTGCTCTGGGTCTCTTTAAAAAGCCATTTTGTATCTGGCTGGAAAGGAAGGAACTACTCTGGAGGGTAGGGTCCTAATACAGCTGGGAGATGTTCCTCAGCCAATAGGCTATTTTTCCAAGCAACTAGATTCAGTGGCTCCAGGTTGGCCTGGCAGTAGCTGCTGTCAATTTGATTACTGGAGGAGGCTAACAAGCTTAACCCTTGGAAAGTGAAAGTCGCTCAGTCTTTGCGACTTTTTGTGACCCCATGGACTACACAGTTCATGGAATTCTCCAGGCCAGAATACTGGAGTGGGTGGCCGGTCTCTTTTTTGAGTTGTCATGATCCAGCAGTCCAACTCCTGGGCACATACCCAGACAAAACAATTATTCAAAAAGATAACATGCACTCTGTTAAAATGTCTTTTCATAATGAAGAGCAAAAAAAAAAAAAAATGGTTGCTTAAGTTTATTGCCATGCTCATCACTTCTGTAAACCGGCCTGCTTATTGCTCACCACCTCTGCTTCTGTGAACTGGCCTACTTATTGGGTCAGCCAAACTGCTTAGGTGGGAAAGTCACTAGGACCCAGAGCCCCATGCTATATAAGATAGTGGGAACAAAGCCTGTGCACTCACCCTCTGGAGGCAACTGCAGAGTCTGAACAGGTGCTAAATAAACTGTGCTGTTCTGCATCTCCAAGTGTCACTTGTCTCTTTCCCTTGCCATGGTTTCTGTAACAAGACATGGAAGCAACCTAAATGTCCATCTACAGATGTGGTACATATATGCTATGGACTATCATTCATTCAGTAAGTCCTGTCCAACTGTTAGGGAACCCATTAACTGTAGCTCACCAGGCTCCTCTGTCTATGAGATTTCCCCGGCAAGAAGACTGGAGTGGGTTGCCATTTCCTTCTCTGTAATGAGTTCTAAGCCAGCCTCTTCACTCTCACCCCCAAGTGGCTCTTTAGTTCCTTTTCATTTTCTGCCATTAGAGTAGTATTTGTGTATTTGAGGTTATTTCTCCTGGCAGTCTTAGTTTCTCCATGATCCAGGGATTGTTGGCAGTTATCTTCTGCCTCTTTGAAACCCAGCTTGTATATTTGAAATTTCTTGGTTCCTGTGCTGCTGAAGCCTAGCTTGAAGGATTTTGAGCATAACTTTGCTAGCATGTGATTATGCTTTTCACAGTGGAATACTATGTGCTCATTCGTGTCCAACTGTTAGTGACCACATGAAGTATGTAGCCCATGGAATATTGGTTCAGCCACTCAGTCCTGTCCAACTCATGTCAACGTGTCCAACTCTTTGAATGTTACTCAGCCATAAACCATGAAAGGCTGTTTACAGCAACATGGATGGGCCTAGAGATACATGTATGATGGGATCACTGCTGTACACCAGAAATTAAAACATTTTAAGTCAGTAAATGCTGAAGCTGAAACTCCAATACCTTGACCACCTCATGCGAAGAGTTGACTCTGGAAAATACCCTGATGCTGGGAGGGACTGGGGGCAGGAGGAGAAGGGGATGACAGGATGAGATGGTTGGATGGCATCACCGACTCTCTTTTTTGAGTTGTCATGATCCAGCAGTCCAACTCCTGGGCACATACCCAGACAAAACAATTATTCAAAAAGATAACATGCACTCTGTTAAAATGTCTTTTCATAATGAAGAGCAAAAAAAAAAAAAAATGGTTGCTTAAGTTTATTGCCATGCTCATCACTTCTGTAAACCGGCCTGCTTATTGCTCACCACCTCTGCTTCTGTGAACTGGCCTACTTATTGGGTCAGCCAAACTGCTTAGGTGGGAAAGTCACTAGGACCCAGAGCCCCATGCTATATAAGATAGTGGGAACAAAGCCTGTGCACTCACCCTCTGGAGGCAACTGCAGAGTCTGAACAGGTGCTAAATAAACTGTGCTGTTCTGCATCTCCAAGTGTCACTTGTCTCTTTCCCTTGCCATGGTTTCTGTAACAAGACATGGAAGCAACCTAAATGTCCATCTACAGATGTGGTACATATATGCTATGGACTATCATTCATTCAGTAAGTCCTGTCCAACTGTTAGGGAACCCATTAACTGTAGCTCACCAGGCTCCTCTGTCTCTGAGATTTCCCCGGCAAGAAGACTGGAGTGGGTTGCCATTTCCTTCTCTGTAATGAGTTCTAAGCCAGCCTCTTCACTCTCACCCCCAAGTGGCTCTTTAGTTCCTTTTCATTTTCTGCCATTAGAGTAGTATTTGTGTATTTGAGGTTATTTCTCCTGGCAGTCTTAGTTTCTCCATGATCCAGTGATTGTTGGCAGTTATCTTCTGCCTCTTTGAAACCCAGCTTGTATATTTGAAATTTCTTGGTTCCTGTGCTGCTGAAGCCTAGCTTGAAGGATTTTGAGCATAACTTTGCTAGCATGTGATTATGCTTTTCACAGTGGAATACTATGTGCTCATTCGTGTCCAACTGTTAGTGACCACATGAAGTATGTAGCCCATGGAATATTGGTTCAGCCACTCAGTCCTGTCCAACTCATGTCAACGTGTCCAACTCTTTGAATGTTACTCAGCCATAAACCATGAAAGGCTGTTTACAGCAACATGGACAGGCCTAGAGATTCATGTATGATGGGATCACTGCTGTACACCAGAAATTAAAACATTGTAAGTCAGTAAATGCTGAAGCTGAAACTCCAATACCTTGACCACCTCATGCGAAGAGTTGACTCTGGAAAATACCCTGATGCTGGGAGGGACTGGGGGCAGGAGGAGAAGGGGATGACAGGATGAGATGGTTGGATGGCATCACCGACTCAATGGGTATGAGTTTTTAAAGAACTTGCCACACCTTCAACCCACCTAAACCCCAAGTAACAGTAACACATTAGCCTTGACTCAGCTAGACAAGACTGTGTCCCTGGAATTCTCCAGGGGATCTTCCCACCAGCTGAGTCACAAAGAAGCCCAAGAATACTGTGAGTGGGTAGCCTATCCCTTCTCCAAGGCATCTTCCGACCCAGGATTCAAACCGGGGTCTCCTGCATTGCAGGCAGATTCTTTATCGACTGAGCTATCAGAAAAGCTCAGGGGAAAAAAACATTCAAGATGCCATGCAGCTGTATGGCATGTAACAATCCCCTGTAAAATTTGGGGCTGAGATCTTGCAGCTTGGTAACAAGTAGCCATGGACACCAAAAGGTCCTAGCTTAGGCACGGGAGCAGCAGAGGAAGCAGTCCTGACACAACAGGTGACATTGACCCCGTCCCTTTTACTTCTGACACCCCCTTGCCACAGCCCCTGAGCAAACCTGGAGCCAGAGATGAGGGTGAAATGGGGATGGGTAGTGGCACTTCCATCACAAATTGCTTTCCTTACCAATGGAAATTTACTAGAGGGCCATGAGAATGAACAATGGGAAGAAATACTGGGAAACAATAGAATGGGTAAGACTTAGGAGATCAAGAAATTTGGAGTTATCAAAGGAATATTCCATGCAAGGATGGGAAGGATAAAGGACAGAAATGATAAGGACCTAACAGGCAGAAAAGCTTAAGAGGTGGCAAGAATACACAGAACTATACCAGAAAGTTATTAACTGGATAACCACAATAGTATTGTCACTCACCTAGAGCCAGACATCCTGGAATCAAGTGGGTCTTAGTAGGCATTATTACAAAGCTGCTTCTGCTAAGTCGCTCGAGTCGTGTGACTCTGTGCATCCCCATAGACAGCAGCCCACCAGGCTCCCCTGTCCCTGGGTTTCTCCAGGCAGGAACACTAGGGTGGGTTGCCATTTCCTTCTCCAATGCGTGAAAGTGAAGTTACTCAGTCTTGTCCGACTCTTAGTGACCTCATGGACTGCAGCCTACCAGGCT